CATAAATCCTGTGGTCTTGCTGTCAGAGGATGGCTGGAGTCGACTCAGACCCCGCCTGGTTGCCTCCTCTCCCGCCTGCTTATCCCTACCCCCAGCTCCCCTCAGGCTTTTCTCCCCAGAGCCAGAACACACCCCTGTAAAACCAAGTGACCCCTCTGTAAAGCCCTCCAGTGCCCCATCTCTGGATCAGAGCAGTGTGCCCCCAGCCCTACAGAAGCTGCTGGGTCTGAGCTCCGCAGCCAGCCGTCTTCAGCTTCTGCTCCTGTCCTGCTTCCCCACCTGCTTCAGTCTCGTCAGCGTCCTTATCAGACTCTCCACGTGCCAGTCACACTCCTGCCGAGGGCTGGAACTGTTCTTCTCTGGCTGCAACATTCTTACTCGGACCTCCCAATGGCTGCTGTCCGGCTCATTCTCTTTAAATGCCCCTCTGGGTGAGGCCGGCTCTCCCCTATCTCCCTGGACCTGGCTTCATTTTTCTGCTCAGCACTCCGCAGCATCTGGCACATGACACACGTACCTGCCTATTCGTTTTGAACTCTGTCTCCAGTACAAAGTAAGGTCCATGACAGTGAGAACTATGCCTCTCTCGTGGCTGCCTGCAGCACCTGGGGTCTTGTCTGCTCGTGAGTATTCGCGAGGGAGTGACTGGGTGGCTTGGGAGCCAGTGGCCTTGTGTCTGGCCTCTCACTGAACATTCATTTGGCATTAAGTACATGGAGTTTACTTGGTTTTGGTGGGTTTTTGTTGTTCATGGAGGAAGGAGATGAGAATGAGCACGCTGCCTCGGCTGGCAGGTAACTTGTACCCTGGTGGCAAACTGACCTTTTACCCAGTAGAGGGCTGCGGTTGCTTTGCAGCACTAACATACAGACATTGTTAGAGCTCAGCGGTCTCCTGGAGACAACGGACAATCAAGAAAGTGATTGTTCTTTAGCACGCATTGCTCTTTAGTAATGCTTAACTACAGTTGAATTTTCCTGTGTGATAGAACTAAATCCTATTATTCTCATTCTTTGTAAAAACAAAATGCATGTAAATGTTTTTTAAAATTAATTACAGTATCATTGAAGTATCAACTGTCTTATGAAGGTTTCACATGAGCAAGGTTGTGGTTTCAACATTCACCCTGATTATCAAGTCCCCCCCAAACCCATTGAAGTCACTGTCCATCAGCCTAGTAAGATGCTATAGAGTCACTACTTGTCTTCTCTGTGCTGTATTACCTTCCCCATGACTTGCCTATATTTTTTGTGTACTAATTATAAAAAATGCATGTAAATGTTCTTTAACTTTTGTATCTTTTTTAAAAATTTCAATTCTTGAGTTTTTTAGTTCTTTATGTCACATGGGTTATTTTTTTATATATCACCTGAAACTGTTTCATCAGTAGAAGTATTTATTTTGAATAGCTTCCATTTTTTCCCACATTCCTGGTAGCTTGCCTGTGGAAGGAAATATCTCTAGTCCACCCAAATAAAGTGGTGGTGGTGTACAGAAATACAGGCGGCTCCATCCACAGTCCTGGCCTTGGGAGATTCTGAGCCGCCAGCTTCCTACTCTCCTTTGTCTCTCAGCCTCCACCCTAGGGAAACAGGGTGCCTTTCTGATTCACATCAAGTTATCTCAGACTTTCTAGGACCTAGGAAGCAATTAGATACCGGAGGCTCCATTAGATGCAAAGTCAACAAGTGGTTAAAATGTCAAAAAAGGTGTAAGTGAAATAATGGTGTGAGTCACTCTGTCACTGAAGCAGGTATTTATGACAAAGGGCACCATGAAGAAACCCCACTGCAGTTGGTCTCCTTCTGCACAGGGTGAGGTTTCTCTTCCTCGTCCTTGGCTCTGCTCTGTCTCCGGGGCGTGCACACGCCTGTCTTGGACTCCTGTCCGTTTGCCCCTCTGGCTGACTTTTCTGAGCGCTCATTAATGTGCTCATCCCTGCCGACCTTCCTCTGTAGTACTTTCTCACTGTCATTCATAACAAAACATTACTTCATGTCCCTTGGTAATAAATTTGTCTTCTACCGTTTTACTCTCATATTTGTCGCTCCCTGGCTCCCCCACCCTGTGACAGGCTTGACCACAGGGAGTGGAGCTGCCATTAAACATGACGAGATGTTTATGCAAACCCATCAGTACTTTGAGCCTATGGATATGCCAAGTTCTAAGGTACACAGATAAATAAGGCATTGTTCCTACGGTTTGGTAGCTCATGACTTTTGTGGTGACAGAAAAATAAACAAATAATTACAGCATGGCAAATACTTTTAAGCACAGACGATAATGGGCAGGCAGGCGGGAGCAGCATCGAGCTGCAGAAGGATCATGTATCATGACGAGACACGTAGAGATCAGTTTATTTGCTATTTTTAAAGTATTTGTTGAGCACCTATCTTGTGCCAGGCACTGTGCTAGGTGCTAGAGATTCAGTGGTGACAAAGACTGTTAATTCCTTACCTTATGGACTTTCCAAAAAGGAAAGACAAATTTTAAAACAGCCACTGTACTTTGAAAAATGAAACCCATGAATGTGAAAATACTTCGGAGGAAACAAACAAGAAGCTGAGATTAAACAAAGGGCATGTGTGCATGTCCAGGGGGCTCTCGTTCAGAGTGGTTGGTAAGCTGAGACTTGAAGAAGAAGGAGCTATCCTTGCACACTAGTGCCAGGACAGGTAGTCTCAGAGGAGGGCGCACCACTGGAGAGTCCAAGCGTCAAGATTGCTCTGTGCCTTCCTGCCATCCCTGTCAGGGAGCATGATTCTTGGAACCAGCCGTTCAGCTTCACACCACCACCCTTTTCCCAGCCCAGCTCACTTTCATGAGAGATCCTGCATCCTACACACCTGAGAGAAGAGTATCAATGAAAAATTCAGTAATTCACCTTGAAAATAGAGTTTTATTTGATCCAAAATTTGGCTCTAGACCTGGGAAGGTCTAATTCCTACAGGTGGGGTAGGAGATATGTTCCAAAGAGGCCGAGTCATACAAAGTTTGGTATCCACGAGCAGACATCGAAGAGAGGAGAGAACGTCAAAGAGGCACATTTCATTTACATAAGATAGGTCATGCGAAGAAAAGAGATGATGGGGTGGTGGTGGTGGTAAAATACATCCTGGTGGGTATCTGGCATCTAGGAGGTTAAGGAGAAGAGTAAACATTTTGCTGTCCTTTAAAACAGGGTGCTAGTTGACTAGCTTTTAATTCAATTGATGGCTTTTTTTTTTTAAATGTGTGTGGCCATTTTGCGACTCCCAGACTTAATGAAACCTTCAAAAACTAGTCACTGAAATCTTTTCGGTGGGCCCTAGTATAGTGGTCAGCTTTATTTCACAATGGGAATTGCATGGGGTACCAGGACAGCCAAGGGCACGGTAAGGTCATATATACACTCAAAAAAGACATGTTTGCATCTTTGGAACATCTTATGCCTGTTATATGTACTTAACAGTTTAGCATGTCACTGAGCTGTTAAAATAAATTTAATTATTTTACCGGTTTTTATTATGTTCTAAGGTAAAAATGGGAATTAGAACTGAAAGGTATTTTATAATTCTTGGTGAGATGAAATATGAAGAGAATTAGGCAAGGTGAGAAAATGATTCTCTTCCCCCAGGGAAATAGAAATTATAAGGCATTTTCATAATCCTCAAAGGCATGTAAAGTTTCATGCACAGCTCAAAGCAGCACAGCGATAGGCTGGCTGAGGAATAATTTCCCGAGAGTGAGTGGCATGAATATAAGAGCTGACTTTTAAGGGAAGCCAAGGAGTCTTCTCCCTTACGGACTTTGATTTAAAAACAGTTGTCATCTGATGGTTTTTTTCTTTTGATGAGCTCGGCCTGTTAGGTGAGGAGAATCAGCTGTGAGTCCTCAAGGACCCAGGTCTGTGCCTCTAATTCCCAGTGGGAGGGACATTTCACACAAACCCTTGAGGGCAGTACTGACATGGTGAGAAACATTTTCTGTCTTTACGTGCTCAGATTTTGCTGATTGTGGCAGCTGATGCTGACCAGTCCTGTACCCAGAGCAGTGGGGCTGGTGGAAGAGCATGGGGACTTCATGGTGGCGCTGAGCGTCCTCCTGTGTCTTGCACTTGCTGGCTGCATGACGGGCCTTCATGTAGCTCTTTCGTGAAGCCCTTTGTGAAGCCCTTTCCTTGGTCTTGCAGTGTGTGTGTGTGTGTGTGTGTGTGTGTGACTGAAATCTGCATACTCTTGAGCAGGTAGAGCTCACATTCTACCTGTGGGCACAACAGGATTGCCTGGCTTTATTGAAATTCCAAAAATACAAATAAGTCACTTGTGGTTAATTGTTCTTTACTACTAATGTCTGTAAGCGAATGGAGTCAAGGATAAAAATGTATCCTGGTGGTTTTCTTATGTGAATTTGTTTGTTTTCCTTTCTGAGTTACCCATTCAATCAGAGATTATATAATATGGAAACAGGATGGCCATCTTCTTAGCTGTAAATGGTTTTCCAGGCCTCTTTTCTCAGAGTCCCCCAGTGCCTTTCACAGGCCACTGACCCTCGGCTCCTGGCTATGAGAGCCGAGATGTGGACCTTGTCCCTATTCCTTTCCCTGTTTCCCTCTTTCTGTTTTGTTCATTCCTTGCCAAAATTCCTTTAGTTTTCAACATTCCCCTTTTCCGAGGCAAGCTACTTTCCAAGCCTGTGCCTGGGTGCTCTCTAAGCAGCACCCGCCAGAGGCACGCCCCCGGAGGGGGGCTCACTGCTCACACGAGGTTCCTGCCAGAGGATGAGCTGTTTCTTTTTTTCTTGCTTTTCCTGTACCTTCTCCAAACATAGCAGCCCTTGTGTTATAGCTCTTTGAAATTCCTTGGAGGCCTTTTTTATGTTAAAAAATTTCAGAACTTTGTTATTATATGTTATATAATTATATATTATTATTATTATAAGCAGAATAAACTCATTTTCATACATAAGTATTATTTTACATTTCCTTTTCTAAAATGTTGATTTTTTAAATTTTGTCACAGCCCAATGATGATAATTACCCAGAAGATCACTAGTTTGGCTTATGAAATTCATGATGGTAAGTATTTAGAAATTATTTGAGCTATTACCATAACTTTCTGCTCTCTGTTAGAGGAAAGAAAGGATGGAGGTAAGATGGGAAAATTTTAATTCTGCTCAGGGTTAATAAAGTGTGTTTATTTTTCTTCAATGTTGCATCTTAATTTTGCATTTTATCAGTGATAAGAACAGTAACCTCTTGTGATTCAGTTGTATGACCCATATTAGTGGCAGATTAAAATATAAAGGTAACAGACGTTTGGTCTAAGTCAGGTTTAAGTGGTACTATTTAATTTAGTTCTCCTTTGGTGTTTAAATTAGGTTTAGGATTCTAGTCAGTTGATGTATAAGCATAAACAACATCCTCCTATTTGGGGAAAAAAGGTAAAGAAATGGATGAAGATGATACATGAGGACAGTTTTTATTCCTTAGAGTCTTGTAGGAGTAAGGCAATCATTCCTTGCTGTATGTTGAGCTTCTGGCCCACAGTATTTGTGTTAGTCATTTAAATCATCCAATATTAGGAAAATTAGTAATTCGACCCTTGATGTGTTATTTATCTTATACATTAGATGTGTTGGAATTCATGATGGTCCTTTGACATGATTGAGCCTGCATTGCACTGAAAAGGAAACAATTGTACTAATTTTACCAAAATTGGGATTACAGCAGGAATTTCAAATGAGTACAGGAATGAAAGTGAGAATGGGGAAAATACCATTCTTTTTTGGGGGGGGAGTCATAATTGATCAAAGTACCTTTTTTATTTTTCAGGGATGTTCCGAAAGGATGAAGAACTGACTCCATCACAGAGAGGTTTGGCTGTAAGGTTCGTGCCTTTTAATTGTACCCTTCATGGTCCGAGCCACCTGTGCTGGAGACACACTTCCCTCAGATGGCTAAGGCTCACCTGTCCTAGAGAGACTGACTTCCCAATAGCCAAACCTGCCTCCCTCTGCCATGTCCCCACCCCCAGGCCCATCCCTCCTCAGCCCAGGTTCTGTCCCCACCACTGGTCCGATAGCATTCTTTCACCGATACCATCATTAAGGTTGCCCTTAATCTTGACCAATCTAATTGTCAGCCAGCTCTCAGCATCGTTGATTCAGTTAGCCACTCGGTCCTTTGGGCCCCCCTTTATCTCTCCCCCAGGAGAGTGCACTCTTTCGGTTTCCTCTCTCATCCCTGGCCATTTCTCCCTATCTTCTTCGCTGAATCCTGCTCCTCAGCCCAACCACTGAAAATTGTGTGCTTGACTCCTACTTGGTCTGTTGTGGTGGCTCTCCCAGCAAACCTGTCAGGACTGCACGAGAGGCCCGCCAGAGCTGGCAGCTCCTTCCCCTCCTCTGCACAGACCTCCCTTCAGAAACCCCTCCCTGCCCCGTGTCACTCTGTCGCCTGGCCCTGCTTTGCTTTTCTCCATAATATGTTTTCCTATCTGGCGCTATGTGTTCATTTTGACCGTCCGTCTCCCTCCCCTGCTCCCTCCCTCCCTCCATGAGGGCGCAACTTCATCTTGTTTGTCTTTATATCCCCATCCCCTCGATAGCGGTTCACCACTGAGGAGGGCTGTGTGTTGTCCCGCCACCTCCTGACATCTGACAGTGAAGACGGTTCTGGCCATCACAGTGGAGAAGGAGGTGCTACTAACATCTAGTGGGTGGAGGCCAGGGATGCTAAACATCCTCAGGTGCCCATGATGATCTACGAAAAGAGTTATTGTCCAAAAATACAATGCTAGCTTGAGAAGCCCTAACTTAGGGCAGCACATAGTTGATGTCGAATAGATATTTATGGAATGAAAGAATGAATCTTCCATTTAGTATCATAAATGAAGTATTACAGTTATACTTAGTTCTCATTTTAATAGCAAATATTTAGTTATCTGCTTAGTAAAATGACTTGTCGTTTGAGCCAGAAATTACTTCAGCAAAGTTCATGGTTCAGGTTATCTCCTGTCCTTGCAAATTGTGATACATAGTTTGACTTGGTAAGACTGAGCTGCGACTTGATAACCTGGCATTGTTCTGGGGCTTGAAATAATTGGTATTGACAGTGGAGCTCTGTTGCTGGGGCACAAGAAGTTCTTTTGTGACTTCGATTGCAGGACACTTCCCCTAGTGTTTGAGACAGTGAGAAAGCATTCTGTCTCAGCGTTACATAGAAAGAACTGTAAGAAAAAAGTCTGCCAGAAACATTTTGCTCTCACCGATTTTGAGCCCTCACAGAAAATACTTAAGGTTCAAAACACTTTTAAATGTAGAAAAATAATTCTGTAAAAATCTAAAAAGTAGTTTCGGTGAAGTGGCGACCTAGCTAGTGTCAAGTAGACAGGAAACACTCTTTTCTTTTTGACTGTTAAATACATATCGGGGTTCCGTCAACTTCTCTCATTCACCAAGAGTGCTTGTGTTTTTTAGGAGCCCACTTTGCATGTTGGAGAGGAAGGAAGGATTGTAACATTTAACGGCTTACTGCCCCCAAGCGTAGCTGTTGTTTATTTTAGTTTATATTTGTCAGTGAATGGCCAACTTGACAAATGGAGCTGGTTTTAAAAAAATAAATAGACATCCACTCCTCATTCACTTACGTGATAATATACGTAGTCGAAATAGTCTCCTGTGTTGCTCACCATTTTTCGCCTGGTCACCCACACTGAGAATTTGAATAAATAATTAACGTTAAGACACCATGTGCCTTTTGGACAGACCTCAAAGCAGTTGAATGAAAGATGCCGCACGATATCCGGGGTTCCTCTCTCCCACCCCCATGCAGTTTGTCAGCAACCCCCTGGGCAGTCCTACCCTGCCGCTCTCCGCCGCTTCCCCCCCTGCCTCAGGTCCCAGTGGGCTCCTTCCTGGTTCTTCTACTTCTGCCTGTCCCCTGTCCCCACACAGGCTGGGGGATTCTTTCAAAACATAGGTGTTTTAAAACCCTACTGTACTTTTTATCTCTTTCAGAATAAAATCCAAAGTTCCTCTGGCTTAGAAGGCAAGCCCTGTGTGACCTGACCTCGGGTCTCTCTGACTTGCCCGTCTCTTTTCCCTGGTTAGTCCACTCCAGCCCCTCGGGCTCCCTGCTGCCGGGTGCGCCCCCATATCTCAAGGATTTTGCACCCATTGCTCCCTCTACCTGGAATCCTTGTCTCAGATACTCACAGGGCTTCCTCCTTCACTTCCTTCCAGTCACTGCTCAGTTGTCACCTGTCAGAGAGCCCTCCTCTTATTACTATAATAAAATATCCCCTTCTCTTTGTAGCACTTCTGTAACACCTCTGAAAATACTTTCTATACATGTTTTAGTTATCTGTTTTCTACAACTCTTATGTGCTCTGTAAACACAGGATTTTGTTGTTGTTTACTGTACTATCTGTCAACCATGGAGATCAAGGGCTGGCACATAGGATTTGAGCACACACAGATTTGTTAAATGAGTGAATGATTGAACAGTAAGAGATGGTTCTTTATGCCGTATCTTGTCCATGTTAGGTTTGTTTCATCATGAGTTAAGTAGAAACCCTTCATGGTGTTCATAAAGATCTGTATAGAAACTCTTTTATCTAAAAATATTGTTGAATACCATGATATCAGGATGTATCTTTTAGATTCTTATTGTATGGATGCAAATGAAAATTGAGGCTTGTTGTATTTTGGAAATGGTAAGAGCAGTGAAGCAGATGATGATTATTCCTATCAAATTTTCTGAAAGCTTATGTTACATCTCACAACTTGCATGTTTTTTTTTTATTGCAGGCGTATGCCAAGCCTACTGGAGTATTTAAGTTACAACTGCAACTTCATGGGTATCCTGGCAGGCCCACTCTGCTCTTACAAAGACTACATTACTTTCATTGAAGGCAGATCATATCATATGACACAATCAGGTGGAAATGGAAAAGAAGAAATACTGTATGAAAGAACAGAGCCATCTCCAAATGTAAGATCATGTGATTTATCTGGAGCCTTTATAGCTTGTATTGATTAGTCTTGTTTATTTAAAGATACTGTTTTTAAGTTTTGAGTTTACCCATCTATGTCTTTAAAAATATTTTTCAAAATAAATGACTCTTCACATGGTATCTAGCAGTGATGCCTAGTAGAACTACAATCTTGATCAAAGAAAGAAAATTAGGTTACCTAAAAAACTATGCCGAGTTCTGTGAGAATAATGCTCTATAGTTATGGAGTATTTCACATGATGGCCCTTCTCGTGGACCTGGTCCAGCCTTATTTTCTGGGCTTTTTCTTATCTATACACCTTATGTTCCAGCAACCTCAGGGTTGTCTTCTCCTCTCCTGCCTCCCCTCTCCTTTCCTGATCATTGCTAGTTGAACTCTTACCTCTCTTTAAAGGCCTACCTGAAATACCACCTTTCCTACGAAACCTTTCCCAATCCCCACAGTAAAGATAGTCACTAACCCTTGGCTCCCACTTCCCACGGCCCTGCACTGCCCTAAGCCCTTCACCCGTTATCTCAGCCCTAACACCGCTCCTACAAGGCTGGTGCTCTTAGTCTCACTGTTTAATGGATAAGGAAGCTGAGGCTAAGTAATCTGATCAAAAATTCCAGGCTGACAGTAGAACTGGAATTCAGACCTAGGCAGTCTGGCTTCAAAGTCTGGTAAGTTTCCTCACAACCAAGCCGTCATCTTCAGTTCCTCTGAACTGCTGGGACAGCTGGAGCTGCTGAGATACTGCGCTCCCAAGAAAGGCTGTGAGACGCTGTGTACACTAGGTTTCTGTTGGATTGGATCTGGTGGAGTCTGAAAGTCTCATGAGAAAGAGGCAAATCAAAAGGTCTGGGGCAGAACAGGGGGCCAGTATGTTTTCTCTGAGTATGGGGCTTGGAGGAAAGGACACCTCCTTTCTTTCTGCATGAAGAGTGAATGACACGGTGTGTTCCATTCACAAAAGCTCCCATGTTATCTCTTTTCTGCCATGCGACTCATTGTGTTTTACACCAAAAAGGTGCTTTCTCTTCATATTTCCTTTTACTAGTTCGTGTTAATTTGTATATGCCATATCCAACTGGGTTGAGTTTCAGATTACAAAATGGTATATTCAAATCTCTTTCAATGACTATTTTATGTCCCTAGGCTGACAACTTGATCCTTTAGAGGTCTCACTACCCAAAGAGAAAGTAAAGATAATTATGGATGACTTTCAGATTCCAGTTTATTCTGGAATACTAGAAAGAGAATTAAAACTGAGGAATCAATACTGGACATAATTTTGTAAAGTATTTGCAATTCATCAAGTGCTACAAACATATGAACAGTAGTAAGTCAAACCATCAAAGAATAATACAAATTTATTCTTTGCCACACAGAGTGGCACCTCACTCTGAAGCTTTTTGGGGCTTGTGCTTAAAAAACGTCAGTTTCCTCTTTTGGTTACAGACATCATAAATCAGAGGTTGTTGACAGTGACAAATAATATATTATCTCATTGTTTTAATATCTTCTTATTTAAATTCCATATGGATATAGTTCACACAGTCAAATAGTGGTAGTTAGTAGTAGTTATTTACAAATCACTCAGAGGCCATTGGAAACTCTTTGTGCATAGTGGGCTGTGTAAATTTAGGATCCGAAGTAGGACAGTCAGGTAGCCAGTAGCCCTTCTGTTGGGGACCTTCCAATTAACTTTTTCTACATTAGGTAAGGGAGAAATTTGGCTGCTGGAACAAGGACCAAAATAACAGGGGCTTAAACAAGGTAGAATTTTATTTTTCTCTCACATGGCCTCAAGTGTAAGCACTCCATGGATAATATGATGGCTCCATGGGTCAGGGATCCACGCTCTCCTGTTTTGGCCATCCTGAGGGTGTTGGCCTCATCCACACAGTCTCAGGTGGCTCACCATAGAAATTGTATACATCACTTGTGATGACATCGCATGAACTACGTCGCTTTCCTCAGCTGTGACAGGTGGTCTTGAACTAGACTTCGGTGCATCCATTCCATTGCTGTGGGTGAAGGGGGCCTGGCTCCTGTCGGTCTCTGCTGTGCTGTCCACAGGTCTTTTCTCTGGACTGTTTGGTTTCTTGAACAAAGGGTCCCCTAGTCTTCTGCCTCTGGGTACACAGATTTGACTGCTGGTTGCTGGGGCTGGGCAGGGCAAGGGGCTGAGGATTTCATCTTCGGGGTGCAGACTTCTTCCCTGGTCTCCACATTTTCATGCCATCATTTAACCTAGCCCCTCTGTGGACTCTTATCCCTCAGCCTGGATCTTCGCTCATTAGGCTTCTCTGAGAATTAACGTCTGCCCTCCTGCTAGAATGGTGGAGGGGTAACACCTGCAGGCAGAGAGGCTGTGGGAATCAGGGGAGTTACACCTGGCTCCCCAGTGTTAGGCCCTCCCTCCTTCCTTCCCAGGATCCCACTTGGGCTGGGCCTTTTGGGGGGTTCTCACTGGTGTGTGCGCCACCTGGTGGTTAAGGTCAGGTGTTTGTTACTTCAATTTTGTTTTAAACTGAGATGGGGAAACCGTGTGTATAGTCTAATGGCCTCGGTGTTTGTCATTCTGTCGCAAAGATGGTACACCTGGTTTTCAGGTTAATGTATGAGGCTGTTGGGTTCGCCTCACTTCATTTGTAAGTACGATTTTTCTCTACCTGTGTAAGATCTCTTTCTATTCAAACATATAGGTTAGATATTTTGGGGAGGGGTGAAGAAAAAGTAGCCTTATTTTGCTGGAGAAAGCTTTAAAAGACAACCAGGAAAATGAGATTAAGAACAGTGCAGCACAGCGTCCTTGGACTTTCGGCACCTGTGAGCAAGAGCACCTGAGAGTAAGATCAAGTTTTCTCGGGAGTGCAGAGGATGGACATGTGCTCTGACTCTTGCCTTTGAGCCATTCTTTTGGCACAGTTACAGAAAGCCTTAAATGTAGGTGTTCATTTGCAAGTTACCTTAGTTAATTTTAATATTATTTGATTATCATGCAGGACACTACGTCCAAATACTTTAACATTGCTTCATTTGGGTCCAGCCCTTTGTTTCTTTCCCTTGCTAGCCGGTACCACCTCCTTTATATTGAACCAGATTGAAATATTCTGGCCTACTAAACACGTGATAACACCAGGAGTCTGGTTCTTTCCAGGTAGTTTAGCCTGACCAGCTGCGAGTAAGGGATCCCTCTCTCTCCTGTCAGTGTCTCTTCTGCAGATCTTGTAGTTTTCTCAGGTGTGTAGCTTTTTTGGTTTCATAATTCCTGAAAAAAGTTGCATTAAAGAACTTTCAGATTTGAAGAAATGTTTATTTTGTTTATTGTAAAAGTAATGCCCATGAAAGACCTAGAATTTGGAAAATAAAAAGCACAATGGAAAAAAAAAGCTGATCGTGTGTATATCCCTATAAAGTCCACTACCAAAATATATTGGTAACATCCTTGTGTACCTGTGCTCACTGTTAGATTTTTTTCTTTTCTTTTTTTTTTTTTTACTCTAAGTTCTGAAAACACAGACTGGGGTCCCTACAGTGATTTGAGCCATAACCCAAAGGTCGTATTAGCAACAAGGCTGGAAATGTTCGCATGTGAGACTGCGGAGGGCCTCACATGCTGAACACAGTGTAGTTTATGGCTTTGAACAGAAAGGAGGGTTACAGGGCAAATGCTACATTCAGGAAGAATAATCTTGTACTAACACAAAATGAATTAAGAGGAGTGGAGATGAAGTTTGTGAAGTCTGGTCTTGTACTTTCAGGTGGCAGTCACTCAGAAGCTCTTAGTCTGTGGACTTTCCCTATTATTCCACTTGACCATCTCTAAAACATTACCTGTGGAGTATAACATTGATGAGCATTTTCAAGCTACAGCTTCCTGGCCGACCAAGATTATCTACCTGTACGTCTCTCTCTTAGCTGCCAGACCCAAATACTATTTTGCATGGACATTAGGTAAGTAAAGTATGAGTAGACATTTCTGTTAATGGGTTGAAGTGTATCTTACCCTGTCGCTAGCCACGAGAGTACCCCCCTGAGACTATATAAAGACCAGTTAGAAAAGTCGGAATCATCTGGATGGGAGAAGCAAACCTTACAGCACATCTCCTAAATTTCCAATGGCCACTAGGACATCCTACAAACTGGATGAAGGCCCATTTTACTGTATCAGATAAAAATGAGAGTATATCTGTTTTCACTGTTTAAAAGATCATTGTATGATACATATCTGGGAGAACAAGGTAGGTTATTACTTATGTTCTTAATACTCTTTATTCGCTTTGTTCACTGCAGCTGATGCTATTAATAATGCTGCAGGCTTTGGCTTCAGAGGATATGACAAAAATGGAGCAGCTCATTGGGACCTGATCTCCAATTTGAGAATTCAGCAAATAGAGGTTAGTAAATCATTAAGAAGTTAGCTGCTGTGTGATACTCTAAGTACCATAATTTGCTTTCATAGGCTTTGATGTGATGTCCCAAGAGTAGTATTGAAGGATTTCTATTAATAATACTCACCTCTCCATTCAACCAATATTTATTGGTCGTCAATCATGTGTCCCAGGTACTACGGATCCAATTAATGAGATGGGTACAATCTGGGCCCTGATGGGGCTTTAATCAGTGGGGGTAACAGGGGTACAGAAAGATAGGTTATGATCAAAGAGGTGCAGGGTATGTGCATACTTACAAGATAGGGATCCACTATAGATAAAGTGGCTCAGAAAAGGGGTCCTGAAGGAAGTACTGAAGGAAGTTTTGAGTCCTAAACGGTAAGTAGGAGCTACCAGGCACCCCAAGGAGAAGGAGTGAGTCAGGGCATGCAGCTTGTGTTGTGCACAGCATAGAGAGTGGTGACAGATGAGAAGTAGAAGCCAGGCCAAGACAGACTCAGAAGCCTTATTAAGAGTCTTGAACTCTTTTATACGAGCCGTGGAACACTTGGTAAGTTGAAAGCCAGCAGGTGAGGTGTTGAGAAGGATCCTGCCGCATCAGGTAGAATGTGTTGCCCTCGTGAGACAGTGACCTGTTAGGAGGGCATTGTGTTAAGTGATGGCGACCTAAACCAGGGTCATGACATGGGGCTGGACAGACATGAACATGTTAGAGGTCTGTTCAGGAGACTCAACAGAACTTGATGACAGCTGGAGTCAGCAGAAGAGAATGAGTTATGAATCCTGTGCAGATGTCTGGTTTAAACAGCTAGGTTTGTGTTGATATCTGTCACTGATGTAAGGACAAAGGTTTGAAGGGAAAGATAATATATTCAAATTTCTGACCTAACTAGGTTGTCCAGTAGGCAAATCAATGACCTGATACCAGGTGAAGCATGTGAGCTTGAGATGGTAATCTGAGAACTGTCATCATGTAGCATTTCAAGTTTTGGAAGAAACCCCAAGAGTAGCCCCGAGAGAGCACTGAGGGAACGAGAAGCCATGCAGCCTGCAGAGGAGCCCCCGCACTGGCAGGATGGGCAGAGGGCGCCGCTCAGGAGGGAACAGGGAGACTCAGAGTGACGTTGCTTTGCAAGCCCGTGAAAAGGGTTGTGCCAATGGTAGAAATCACCAGCAGTTTAGGTGAGAGGCTGGCAGAGAGCTCTATGATGAGTGGATCAGGCTGGACCCACCGGTGAACTTCAGCATCGCTCAGAGGGGCACAGTCATTAAGTGCCCACAGATACGATGCCATCTTTCAAGTGCCTTGAGCCAAGACAGAGCCTGATCGGGTGTCTAGGTCTTTCTAAATTTAGAGGGAATGTGGAGTCTAGGAATGTAAGTTAAACACCAGATCCAGAAGTGGAAAATTTTACCAGACAAATGACACAGGTGTTTTCAGTAAATAAGTGGCATGGGAAAGTGAGGCCAATTGAGTACGAAAATGGTATTGGCTTATGTTGAGGAGTAAGAATAAATTTTATTAGGTGTGATCACAGTTTTTTTAAATTCCTTATTTATTGCTTAAATTGTGAACCATTTACAGATGAAATAAAATATCTGGTATTTTCTTTGAAATACTCTTAGCCATGTCCGTAATGAAAATGAGAAAGGGGAGGAGAAAACTGATAATTGTGGAAATTGAGTAATGAATATGGGATAGTGTTTTCTAACCATTTGCTCATTATTGCCACCCTAAAGGAGGCTTTTGAGACACTTTTTTTTTCTGTGGTCCATTATTTACTACTGTCGTCAAAGTGTCAAAGTCCTTTTCCTTTTAATTTGCCTGCCTGTCAAAATTCTAGCCCTGAGTCAACTGTACTGCCCGTCTTCCCTGTGTGGAACATCTGGCTGCTGAGTGCAGAGTATCCCATAGCATGAGACCTTTGCCATAAACCCATGGTTAACACAGATGATGTCCTGCCATGAAATTTAGTCCCAAGATGTGCAGTGTATCTGCTCGTGTGCCATTTGTATACATATGTTTTATGCATAAAAAGAGTAACATGTTTTTGCCCCCTAAGAGCCAGTTTTCATCCTCTTGGGGGCAACATTGCCTCTGTTGGGGACACATGGTATGAGGAAAAGTAAAGAAAAAAGAAGGGAGTTTATTTTTCTGCAGGAAGGAATGGTCATCGGTGTTAACCGTGGACGCATGGCAGAGGTCTCACATGTTTGTGTAACAACGCCAGATGTTCCGAGTAAGAAAGATGGACAGGACAGTTGACCTGGGGCTAGGATTTTAATAGGCAGGCAAGTTCACAGGAACAGGATTTTGATGACAGTAATAAATAATGGACCACAGAATCTGAGAGGTGAGAAGAAAGTGAAGACCAGGGAGGAGATAGTGATTTAGGGAGGAATAGAGGCCAGGAGACCAGAGGCTCGTGGAAGTCGCTTCACGGGAGAAGCTTGAGTGGAAAGGTAGGAAAGGGGGCCCAGATTCTAAGTTGCAGACTGACAGGAATGGAGGGGAGGGAATGAAGAGACTGCAGCTTATGGGGATGCCTAGTCCCCAGTGAACGTGTCACTGGAAGGTCATTTACATAACTGTCCAGAATTTCTTTGAGACAATTCCATAACAACCCTGTGTTATCAACATCTATAGGACAAAATGGTGACTGATAATCCCTTTATTTTGTAGATGTTCCTACAATAAATAACTCCTTTTCTAGAATGATGTTACTGTATTGGAAAAATAATGTTAAGGAGAAAAATCAGTACACTGCCATCATTGGCTTGTAGTTTCTTTTTAGCACAATAAAACATTATTACTTCTATTTAAGCTTCATTATTTGGTTGGCCAAAGAAAAAAGTTCCTTTGTTTTTTAGATGTCAACAAGTTTCAAGATGTTTCTTGATAATTGGAATATTCAGACAGCTCTTTGGCTCAAAAGGTATGTTCCTTCAAGAACAATCTCTGGCTGTGCTCTGGCATCTGATACTGGAGGTTGAGCTCACCAAGCTCAGATTAAATTAAGTGTGTTGAGTGACATTGTGATCTTGGTGGTAACCAGGAAACACTGTTAACATCTTCCAGAGCAAAGGTACTGTCAAATCTGAGACCTGCCTTGGCTTGAGTCATGAATGTGGCTATCATTGTCCTCCCAGCCCCGCTTAAAGGCATCTACCAAGGTCTGACGTCACCAGTGTCTTCTGCTGCTCTTATTCAAGTGACTACACAACCACTATGCATATGTCCTAGGTTTTCCAGAACAGTTCCAGTTGTAAAATATTTCAATTCAAGAGTTCTTTCTATGTTGGGTACAGAATATATAGATGAGTCAAACAGAAAACCCAGCCCCCTGCAAAGAGTTTACAGTCTTGTTGAAGACCCAGGAGTGTGACTGCCACGTGCTGTGCCCTGTAGTGAGGGTGCTGACAGTGAACAGCAAGTGTGGGCACAATGGGAAAAGAGGGGCTTGTGCTTTTTAGACCGGAGTTTTGTCATGTGGACAGGGGAAGGTAAAGGCAGCGATTCTGTCTCATTGCCCCCAGTGGGACACATTGCCCTGTTGTGGGTTTATTTCATTAAAAATAATTGCCCCTCTAACAATAGAGCTGTAAGCACCATTCTGGGTAAAGCACATGTCCCTAACGTCCCTCATTTATAAGAAGTTGAATATCTTCATCCCTTGAGTTATCCAAAATATATTATCATCACTTTATAGTGCCTTGCAGCCTCCCCAGGGGCTGCAGATGTTCTGAGCTAATCTGTTGTAGTATTTTTGTTGTTATATTTTAAATTTGATACCTTAGGAAACTCTTACTTTCATCTGAGTTCTCTACTTTGTTACAAGAAACTTTAGACCAAGCATAGCACACTTGCTAGAAAGAATAGTGTTATCAGATCGGTTGAAAGGTCTTAATGTTATTAAAGAATATAAAATAATGTGAAATAAAAATTGTTCGAGTAGGCAGTTAGCCCAGAGCCGGAGGGGAGAAAGGACGGCGGCAGACCACCCAGTCTCCCCCCAGTCCCACCCAGAGGCTTCCCTTTCTCCCTTAGAACAGCCCCTTTCATGGTTCAGTGCAGACTAATAAGAAAAAGATAGGGGTCACTGGGGCCTTCCCGACTTTAGAACATACGCACTTGAGGAGCTCCTTGTTGCTAACGACCCTGAGACCATCATAATATTATGACATAACTTACGTTGCAGCTTTAGCCCCTCTATGAGTAGTTTCTCTTAGACGCTCATGGAAACAATAATGAACACATACTTGTGAAAAGAGGCTGAAGGGGAGGGAGCCGGAGGGATCCCAAAGATCACGTGGGAATGACCGAACAGGAGGGCAGACGCAGAAAACCCCTTAAAGACACAGTGTAAAACCCTGCAGGTGGCGACCCACCCTGGGGATCAGCCCACTCCTGTCTCTGGAGCCACTTTCCTTTAACTTGCTAAATAAAAACCTGCGGCTTTAACTCTCCACTGAATTGTGTCCTTGTAAAAGACAAGGACCACCCGCCCAGTAACAACAATGGCTTTATGGTAAAGGATTTTTTGTATATAATACAGAGTCCCAAACTCTAGAAACAGCCATTTAACCTATTATATATACCAGGAAAAAGATGGAAATGAAGTTTATTTCCATAAATTTGACACAATAGCTGTCACCTCCCTAAAGTCACAGATCAAGTTACTGCCTATGACAAGTTGTAGGTTTCCTGGTTACCCTAAATCCTGTGAGGTAGTGAAAGAATGACCGTGTGGGCTTAATAGGCTTTGATCCCTCACTCCTCTTGACACTCATGTTTTCTGTGGTCTCCAGGGTGTGTTACGAGCGAGCCTCCTTGAGCCCAACCATCCAGACGTTCATTTTGTCTGCCATTTGGCATGGGGTGTACCCAGGGTACTACCTGACATTTCTGACTGGAGTGGTGATGACATTAGCAGCGCGAGCCGTGAGTATCCAGAAAGTCATTTTATGCCCCTGTGGCGGTCCACTGACCTGGTGTGAAAGGCCCACTGAACAACCCCTGTACAAGGCAGGCCTGCCTTCTTTGGCCCCGGTCATGTCCACTCTGGCTGGAAGTGAGGTGTGTGGCTGGCATCACTGTTCGGTGCTCCCGTGAGCTCCACGGGGCTCCTCTGAGGAGGCGACCCGGCACACAGGAGCACCACCAAGTGTTCACTCTCTCCACAGAATTTTCTGAAGGGGAGCAAAAAACTGAGTTAAAAGATGATCAGACAGCTACGTTCATTTCAGAAATGTTTCTGGAAAGCTGTATCCTTTGAGTCCTCATTTGGGTGCAGAGTGGAGTATGGATGGGCCTGGATCCCGTGGGTGGGCTGCTCCTGGTGGTAAGCACCACAGTAGAAGCGGGACACAGTTCTTCACAGTATTTGCTAGGTTGGGACCTAGAGTAATATTTTGGAAAACAATTGAGAAATTATGTTGGTAACATGAGTGGCCAAAGAATGACAATTTAGTGTTAAGTCCTTGAAAGTCAATCAGAGGAAAGTGACATGAATAAGTTTGAACAAGCTTGTGAAGGCACCGACAGGTGAGAAGGCTTCATTTAGCAAACTAGCAGGTATTGACTCAATTCTAAGCTATCTTGGGGGTGTTTGAAGGAAGTACCAGGAAGTATTAACTAGCAGCTCTACCTTCTGATGTTTTGTGGTCTAGGGGCATACGAGTGTGTATGTGTGTGTGTGTGTGTGTGTGTACACCACAAGGCATATATGATGGATTCCATGGGTTTTATAGATAGTACCTGAGGTGTTTAAAGATGAAAGAAATCCCTTTCGATTGGGTTGACTAGAGGCGGCCTCATTAAGAAGTCAGGTTGGATTTAGGCTTTGAAAGATGAAAGTTATTTTCAACAGTGAGTGAAGTGTAATAGAGAAAATGGCATCTTGGGTATGGAAATGACATTAGCAAAGCCAAGTTTGAAAATGCACGGTGTATTTGGGAATGACAAGTAAATCTGGTTGAAGCAGAGGCTTCCTGTCTGCATAAATAGTGAATGATTCCAGAAAGACTCAGCAGGGCAGAGACTGGGGGAAGCAGGGCAGTAATAGGAGCCCTTGCAGGACACACTAGGGAAGAGCCTGATGCTGATTCTGTCCTCGTGTCAGGGAGTCAGGTGAGGTTTCCCAGAATGGGAGTGTCATGCTCAAAGCCAGGCGACCGGAAAATGATTTGCCATGGTGGACAGAAGGGGGGAAGGAGAGCAGGTCGCTGCTGAGCAGTGGGAGGAGCTGGGATTCGGCTCTGGCATGATGAACGATGGTCTTTCGGGAAGAGCCATAACCATGCCCCGGGTCACCTCAGGAAGACTCCTGTGGTGTCTCATGGCAGAGCCACATTTCCCTTATAAACATGTTAGACCAGAAAAGCAAGGAACACAGTAGAAAAAAGAAAATAGTGCTTGGTTAAGTTTGCATGTTTCAAAACTGAAATGTTTTCACTTTTTTGGAAGCTAAGAAAATATCAGTTGTTATTAGAAAACCCCTTTTTTGAGAAGCTCTTCCTAGCTTCCATTAACAAATGGATAATGTACACAATTGCCGCTCCTTTTATTAAGTGCTGCCTGGCCTAAGCTCAGCATGTAATATCCACCTGTCATTCACAAACACAGAGGTTCAGGAAGGGGAAGTATGTCTCATTTCACAGTGGCAGAAAAAACCTAAAAATAGGTTAAACTATGCTAAAGCTTACCACATATGATTTAAGGTACTCGCAGTTACTTTTAACTTTTTTTTTTTATCTTAAATTTTAATACAGCTTCACATCTACAGAAAAGTTGCAATGGAGTTCTGCCCTTTGCACAGAGTCACACATTTTGCCTGGGTGCTTTATCATGCTTTCTCGGTATTTTTTACACAGTCATGTGTTGTTGTTTTTCTGAACCATCTTTTCCATAGTGGTAGAATCATCTTAGAGTGCCACCAGCAATGTATGAGAGTTTCATGTACTCTGTAACCTTGAGACAATCATCTTAGAGTGCCACCAGCAATGTATGAGAGTTTCATGTACTCTGTAACCTTGAGACAGTTGATAAAGTCAGGGTAATTTTATAAGCAATGTTAAAGATAAAACAAATATTTTTGTTTCTTTATTTCAGATGAGAAATAACTTTAGACATTATTTCATCGAACCTCCCCACCTTAAGTTATTGTATGATGTTATAACATGGATATTAACTCAAATAGCAATAAGTTACACAGTTGTGCCATTTGTACTTCTTTCTATAAAACCATCATTCATGTTCTACAGGTAAGTGTTACTCTTAAAAATATTCTAGTGGGAATAATTTTATTTTTAAAAGAAAGTTGCTTGCTGTTGGGGAGAATAGGAAAATGGTACCATAGCCATTTTTCCTGCAGTTAAGTGCATTATCCATTACTTTTTAATCTTAAGCCAAGCAGCCTCAAGTTCTTTATGGAGTGACTCACACCGCCCAGCCCTCAGATGAGACTATGGTTTAGGCAGAGAACTATCAGCTGGGTAACCACTGCCTCAGATCTTCCAGAGGTTTAACTAGAAGGTGTAGTTATTCTTTCTACATTTGGGTGTTAGCCAGATTTATTGTGGTGATCATCTCACAGACATACATATATTGAATCATAATGTACACCTGACACTAATATGATGTTACGTGACAGTTATACTTCAGTTTAAGAGACATCAGGCTAGTTTTGCCCACGGCCATAGTTCGCCCACTTCTGTTTAGTGTCAAGGCGTAGGAGTTCACGTGTTAAAGCAGAAGCTTAGGAGTCACTGGGGATATTTTGGGGAGTAGAAGTAAAATATGCCTTCTGACAATCATGAGTAACTAACTGTTGGTAAAGTCCGTGCCAGGAGTTTAGACTGCCAACTCCAAAAAGGAAAGGAAAATCTTAAACAGGATGAGTAGTAAAGAATATGATGAAGCAGTTTTAAAAAAAAAAAGGTTATAGCTTGTTCTTTACAAGGAATTATTAATGTTCTTAATTTCTTTAATCAAAAGAGAGTTTTGTTTTCTTCATTTCTCATGTTCTCTGCGTTTGTTTCCACTTCATTGGTTCTTCGTCATTTCCGTATAATAGAAATTATCCTGAATTCCATATTTTGTTTATGTTTACCTCTTCTCCCTCCTCCACCAAATGCCACTGCCCCATATCAGTGATATCCTTGAGATCAAAACTTTATTCCTAAATAAACTCTTCATTTTCCTAGCATTTAGGATGACAGCACATTCTGGTCAAAAATTGTTGAAGTGAATATGACAGTAATACAAGAAGACATTAAGTAACTCCTGGTAAAATTATAATTTTAACAAAAGTATTACATGTTCTTAAACATGACTGAGCCATTAGTTGGAGTTTCTATCCCAGGTGCTCTGCCCACAGTCACTTGAGCTTATGGCTGTAGAAGCAGTTCAGGTCACATTTTGTTTATATTTAATTTGGGGAATGATACTGCTAATAATGTTTTTCATAATAAGACCTTTATTTTGTGACGGTAACATCAAGAAGCAATAGTACTTGTTTATTACTCACATCATGGGATTATTTGTTACTTAATTAAGGGCGGTAGATAGCAGGGGATTCCAGCATATTAAAAGGCTTTATGACCCCTGCATTCTGTCTGTCTGCTCAGTATTTGATCCTGTGGATTTGAGAGATTATTTTCAGATTGCTGTAGCTACTAATCAATACCCCTTTGTTTTTGTTCTGTTTAGCCATGGCCTTATGATCCTTAAAAAACATGTAATGTGGTATCTGGTATCATGCTTCTAAGAAGTGGCCTGGGCTTATGCAGGGCTTTATGAATACCCATTGGCATACACTGGCATAGACTTTCATCTGAGAAGGGCGAGGGTGGGGTTGGGAATAAAAGATAATGTGTACACATCCTAAGTGGGACATGTGACATTTTGACAAGTATATAGTTACTAAGGATTGTTACTTATCAAATCTGAACAAAGGAAATTTTCCCCTTTTTTTTCAGCTCCTGGTATTACTGCCTTCACATCGTTGGTATCTTACTACTACTACTGTTGCCAGTAAAAAAAGCCCAAAGAGGAAAGAATACACATGAAAATATTCAGCTGTCAAGATCCAAAAAGCTAGATGAAAGAGAGAATTCTTTGGGACAGAATAATTTTTCCACAGCAAACAGTGTTTGCAATCAGAATCAAGAAATAGCCTCTAGACATTCATCATTAAAGCAATGATGGGGAAAACACTCTGATGGCTATTTTTTGTATGTTAACAGAAACCAATCTTAGCACCTTTTCCAGGGGTTTATGTTTGTTTGAAAAGAGATTGAGTGGGGGGAAATGGGGCAGCTATAGATGGGTGATTTCCTGCATACCAGATTGGAAAAGGAATGAACTATCCCCTTCCACGCCTTGTCCCTGCGAGCCACGCCTTATATAAAAAGATGTCCACTATTCCAGTGGCCGCTCAGGACCTCAGCGTATGTCCAGAGAGTCATATGTGTGCCCTGCTGCTGAATGTACATTGCGTACCCCCAGGTACTGAAGAGGTGGACCAAGAATTGTGTCAGTCTGAATGACTGAGAGAAATTAACTTTTCTAAATGAATGTCTTGCCTTAATTTCCTAAAATATTGTTCCTAGAAGGTATTTTCAAGTGTAATATTGTGAGAATGCTACTTCAGTATCCATGTTGTGTGCTGTAAAGGAATTCTGGAGGAATTTGAAACACAGTTTAAGATTGTGGATACCTCAAAAATGCAATAAACATTTCAGTATTTGAAGGGTTTTCTTAAAGTATCTCAAATGACTGCAGTAAGTAGCGAGACTAAACAGCAATGGATGCCAAATTATAGGTAGCTTATTTTCCTGGAGAGCTTAATTACCTTGTGTCAGAGAGCCTTTCCATTGATCCTGTGGATTTGAGAGATTATTTTCAGATTGCTGTAGCTACTAATCAATACCCCTTTGTTTTTGTTCTGTTTAGCCATGGCCTTATGATCCTTAAAAAACATGTAATGTGGTATCTGGTATCATGCTTCTAAGAAGTGGCCTGGGCTTATGCAGGGCTTTATGAATACCCATTGGCATACACTGGCATAGACTTTCATCTGAGAAGGGCGAGGGTGGGGTTGGGAATAAAAGATAATGTGTACACATCCTAAGTGGGACATGTGACATTTTGACAAGTATATAGTTACTAAGGATTGTTACTTATCAAATCTGAACAAAGGAAATTTTCCCCTTTTTTTTCAGCTCCTGGTATTACTGCCTTCACATCGTTGGTATCTTACTACTACTACTGTTGCCAGTAAAAAAAGCCCAAAGAGGAAAGAATACACATGAAAATATTCAGCTGTCAAGATCCAAAAAGCTAGATGAAAGAGAGAATTCTTTGGGACAGAATAATTTTTCCACAGCAAACAGTGTTTGCAATCAGAATCAAGAAATAGCCTCTAGACATTCATCATTAAAGCAATGATGGGGAAAACACTCTGATGGCTATTTTTTGTATGTTAACAGAAACCAATCTTAGCACCTTTTCCAGGGGTTTATGTTTGTTTGAAAAGAGATTGAGTGGGGGGAAATGGGGCAGCTATAGATGGGTGATTTCCTGCATACCAGATTGGAAAAGGAATGAACTATCCCCTTCCACGCCTTGTCCCTGCGAGCCACGCCTTATATAAAAAGATGTCCACTATTCCAGTGGCCGCTCAGGACCTCAGCGTATGTCCAGAGAGTCATATGTGTGCCCTGCTGCTGAATGTACATTGCGTACCCCCAGGTACTGAAGAGGTGGACCAAGAATTGTGTCAGTCTGAATGACTGAGAGAAATTAACTTTTCTAAATGAATGTCTTGCCTTAATTTCCTAAAATATTGTTCCTAGAAGGTATTTTCAAGTGTAATATTGTGAGAATGCTACTTCAGTATCCATGTTGTGTGCTGTAAAGGAATTCTGGAGGAATTTGAAACACAGTTTAAGATTGTGGATACCTCAAAAATGCAATAAACATTTCAGTATTTGAAGGGTTTTCTTAAAGTATCTCAAATGACTGCAGTAAGTAGCGAGACTAAACAGCAATGGATGCCAAATTATAGGTAGCTTATTTTCCTGGAGAGCTTAATTACCTTGTGTCAGAGAGCCTTTCCAGGAAAAATTTCTTAATCAGAATGAAAGTTTAGTAATGCGATATTTTAAGCTTATTTTCATAAAAGAGGGAGGATGATGAAGGAAGGAAGGAAGAAGGGCAGGAATGAGCTGGAGCTGGAGCCAAGCCAGCTATAGCAGGGCATGGGGCACAGGGCAGGGCCCAGGTGCTCAGTAGAAGTGCTTTTCACCCTTATTTATCTGCATTCCTTGTGATTATGTAAGACATAAAAGTTTAATAAGTTTTTAATGTGGTGGGCTTTTAAATGAAATTTATCAAGTATAAATTATATAGAATTATAAAAGGATTGTGAAAATATTAGCGGTAGATTGCTTGAAGGTTAATAGAGAGAAATCAATGAGTAAGGTTACTACTGGGATAATCACTTTGTTATCCTTTGCAGTTTAATTCCTATTTAGGATAGTTTTAGGGAAATTAAAACTTAAAGTCACTGGGTCTGAGCCACATTTTTAGAGAATAATACAGTTTCCAAACTCTTAAATTCTCTCATTAAAATTTTGCTGTTAACTCTTGTTGATGAGTTTTAGATTCTTTAAGTAGAAAAATGTGCTTTTATCTTACGAGAATTTTTTGCCATAATTAATCTCATTTTCAAATTACTGGGTGTCCCCTTTAATCCCAGAGAGCCCCGTGATGGCTGCAGTAGCTGACAGCAGCAGAGTAGGATGTGACCAGCCTGGCATTAGGGGCCTGGCCCTAGATCCTAAACCCCGAGCTGGGGGAGAGAGGGGTAGGCAGGGCCTTCTGGCTTCCCCTGCATTTGACTAATCTTTTATGGAATTTTCTTTTTGCCTTACATTTTCTAATGAAATGCAAATTGTCTATTTATGGTGAGTCTCTCTTTTTTTAAAAATTGTTGTCATTAATAATTTGCAATGAAATTAAGGACAGAACAACTATATGGCCCAAGCTATGGACGTAGTATTTCATATGAAGAAGAAAGGAAAAGCAAATGTTCTTGAAACTTTTGGCTCTTAATCAGCAAAATGTCAATATATCTTTTTAGAACTTTGGAAATCTCCTAGTCTTTGTTTATATGAAATGTTTTTACTTTTCTAAGGTAAATTTTTTCCACCTGGTGAGGTTAGCCATGCCCTATTACCTCCCAGGAAAGGATACATAGCTAAGTAAATTTCTCTTTTCCCATGCATTAAAATTAAGGTAGCTGTGTGTGGGAGAGGATAGAAAAGAATAATCGTGGAAAGCATCTGCCCCCAAAAATGTCAGTTAATTAATGCAGAGAATCTGAACACTATTAAGTACACAAAATTTGAGTACAAGACAAGTCTAGGCATGTCGTAAGTGAAAACGAGAAAGCTATTAAAGAACTTTTTTTTGTTCCCCTGTCTAGCTATTTCCAGATAATCACCATTTATTTCTGTTACCTGACTGTTTACTTTCTTAGCATGTAAACCTAAAGTCACTGTTATTATATTCAATAGGATTACCATCCAGAAGGCAAGGTGATTGATGAATTTTCCCATTACTTTGAAGATAATCCATAATGTATACAGTTTGACTGATTTTCATCCCTCTGGATCTAGTTTGTATGTAGTTTTTGAATAGCTTTTCTCTTATTTTAGAGAATTATAATGATAAGTGTGTAACCTAGAAGAAAAACTAAAGGAATCTGATTCTCAACTTGACTTTTCTAAGGAGAAAATAAACTTTTTGTGCTCTTTATTATAAACTGAATATTTCTGCTTAGGGTGTTACAAAGATTAATACACTTATTAATAGTTTATGGTAGAGGAATTGAAAATTGATATTTTTCTCTACTACTGTTAAGTAGGAAAAGATTCATTGTAATATGTACTTGCTTTGTTTTGATGAACAGAACAGGATTCAGTGCGTATTTCTATTATTTCTCACTCTTCCGTTCTCATGAGACCACTCCAGAGATAATCAATCAACATCATATTTATAGTTTTGTTTATTAATTACTATACTACTCAGGGAAAAAAAATGAACAAAAATAGTTCTTCCCTCAATCTCATTTTCTTGAAATAATTACAGCTAATTTAACCTGGTGTATCTCAGCTGTCACCATTGTAGAAGTGGCTTATTCTTGGTGTTTAGAATAAGCATTTTTATTGGAACTCAGGGTAACTGGGGAAATTTATTTAACTTCTAAAAATATTTATGTGGCTTCAAAAATGTTCAGCCACCACTTAGGCTGCCACCATGCTTTTGGGTAAAAAGTATGTTTTCTATTGATTCCCTTCATGTGCGACATTCACCTACAGGATTTCCACAGATACCAGTTTTGAAAAAAATTTGCCGTAAAAGAATGGTTCTAAAAAGTGAATGGACCACATATTGAAGCACTGATTGTCCTGGGAGGAGACCGGGATCTCCATTAATGGCTCAGTCATTAATGAGCTCAGTCATTAATGAGCCTTACGACTTGGACAAGTCTCTTGACCTCTAGGTGAAAGTTTTTTAATAAGGAACCAAAGGGTCAGTTCCAAAAGCTTATGACCAGTTACGTTTGTAATGAAGGGAAGCCGTTAGCAAGATTTCTAAGAGTCTGGGAGAAGGCAGATTCACAACCAGAACTGTTGTCATGGTCATTACTTTTATTACTTCAGTACATGGCCCTGACTTTTCAAAAGGTTTTCTTGGCAAGAGGAAAAACTTTCAGTTTATTAAATCTGAAGGCGTGGCAGCATACCATTCCCACTGAATAATGGCCATTGAACTGAATCATTCCTACTGAAATAGTCTCTACTGAAGAAAACGTATCTTTCTTTTGCTGGCTCTGCTTTTTGGTTGGTTTGTGCTTTGGAAAATTGAGGAAGATCCATGCTAGAAAATATTTTATGCGAATTTCCCACTTTACTAGACAGGCTGTACCACCCTAGAACTTTTCAAATATTATTTCATTCAAAGATACTTAAAGCATTTTTAATTCAGTTACGCCTTATTTTAAACTACCGAAAAATTGAATTAAAGTTTTTGCCATTAAAATAGTTAGAAAATGTATACTTTTATTCAAGAACTAGACCACGCTTATGACAAAAATCTTTCCTATTTAAAATTAATACTTTGTAAATTTTACTTTGTGTGTTAATGA